ACTCCTCTTTATTCCCTAGGGGAGGGGCCATTCACCGTCCACCTGTGGCCTTACTCCCAAGTCGGCCCCTGTTCTTTAGCTGTTTCCTTCATCTGGCCACTCCGCACATGCGCACACTGGGAACAGGCTCCAGCTGTTCGTCTGCCTCATTGATGTCTGACTCTGAAGGCAGCTGATAACTGGCATATGGCTCTGGCCCCCTCTCTGCCTCTGACCCAGAGCCCTCATCAGAGCCTTCCCCAGACTCCAGGACTGGCCCATCTTCCTCCCCAACCTCCTCACTGTCTGAATCTACTGCCAGCTCCAATGGCTGCTGGTGGGCCACAACAGTGGCTTTCTTTTCTGTAAAATGTCTTACTCCCAAGTCGACCTCTGTTCTTTAGCTGTTCCCTTCATCTATCCATTCTACGCGCGCGCACACTGGGAACAGGCGCTGGCCTCTGGCGGGCCACCACAATCTGTCTGATGGAAAACGTTATTCAGATTGAGATTTTTTTCCCCGTTCTACATAACACGAATGAATATATCAACATGGCCAAAAGGTACTCACCCGTTCTGAAAATGATATTCAAGATTGCAGCGTTGCAGAATTTCTGAGCAGTGTTCCGTGAAAGGACAGTTCACCATTAGCTTATCCAAGAGCTTATTCACCAAGATGCTTGATTTCCGGCACTTCTGTAGAGCAAGGGCTTTGCGGTCCATGGGGCAGAAGTCTTTTTCCACGAGGAAATCCGTAAGGCAAACTGCACAGTACGTGTGTCCGCAGGGTGTGTCCAGAGGCCGAAGCAAAGGCTGCAAGCAAATATGGCAGATAAGGTCATCGTCTACATCTTCTGTGTAGGTGTATATATGGTTCTCTTCTGGAAAATGCCTTTGGCCACAGGACAAGCATAATGGAACAGAGCTTCCTTCTGTCTCTTCCAATGAGTCTTTGGGGTTCATAATTGTACGTTCCCGTTTCACCAAACAGAGGAGAGGATGCTCGGCTGCTGTGAGAACTTATCTCTATCCAGAATTGTTAGTCCAGCTGCTCCCGGGAGTCTTCAGACCTGGAGGGAAGCCACACAACGATCCATTAATTTATTTCGATATTCAAATTCAACATCGTTCATTTCATGATGCAGCACCCAGCAATCAAACTTTATTGCACGAACCATTACACTCGGATGGAATATACCGAAAGACTCAGATATATCCATGAAAGACTAGGAAGAAAAGTAGGGATTCCTCTCCAGTGGAAACCACCTATATCAGTGTTGGCGAACCTTTTCCGGACCGAGTGCCCAAAGGGCACCAAATGTGTGCATGCACATCCGAACCAGTGATGGGTTCCAGATCCCATTGCAACCGGTACAGTGCAACGGGGCTGGGCGCCCACCACATGAAGATGCGCACACACACACACACAGCCCACATAGGCGTACTTAGCCTCCGCGACGCTCCGCGACACCTCCGCGACATTCCAGCTGCCGCCGTACGCTCTGTGCACAAATACCAGTAAGGAGCACGGGCAGGCTGGTGGGCCCTCCGGAGCACCGTACCAGAACAGTACTTGGTGTTCCTGTCAGGCACCGGTACGCCCGTATCGGGGCGTACCGTTCATAACCCACCACTGATCTGAACCCCCAAAAGGCAATGCGTGTACCCTCATGCATGTGTTCCCCCCACATGTGTCCAGCCCCCGTGTGCATGCATGTGTGGCCTCCCTGAATGCTCCCCACTAGCAGCACTTGCACATCAGAGACCCCAAAACCAGCTGGCCAGCGTGAGGCATGCGCGGTGGAGCTGAACTGGGGCAATGGCTTCTGTGTGTCCCCTCCGGCATGTGTGCTATCACAGACTTATATGTACTGCATAGCCGAGGTGGCGCAGTGGTTAAATGCAGCACTGCAGGCTACTTCAGCTGACTGCAGTTCTGCAGTTCGGCTGTTCAAATCCCACCGGCTCAGG